AGAGGAGAGAGATGTGAGACATATTGACTGGTTGCCTCCTGCACACCTGCAACCGAGGTAATTGAACATGATCAGGAATCGAACCCACGACCCCTTCATGGCCCCAGCCAACCCTAATCCTCTCAGTCCCCCACCTCCCAATACCGTCACGTTGGGATTAGGGCTTCAACATATGAATTTGGGGGGATACAGTTCCGTCCATAGCAGCCCCGGGGGCTCCTGCGAGGGGCTCAGATTTCATTCTGTCTTTGGAAATGATAGTCTGGATGTTGAGAATGAGGCGTTTCCCATTTAAACACTTACAGCCTCCTTGGTCTGGACCTGGCTGAGCTCCTGCAAACATGGGCAGGAAGGGAGGAGTCTCTCTACTCCCCTGCTTCGTCCCCTACAGGGGGCAGGGGCCTCGGCTTCCCCACCCTCCTCGCTCTCACCCTGGGACCAATGCCCGGTGCAGCAGAACCTGACCCTTGAAGTGAGGCCTAGGGGGCCGGGTCCCAGGCAGGTGACCCACAGTGAGGCCCCACCCACTGCAGCAAGCACCCGGCTCTGTACCCATATGGTCCTGGATGCTCGCTGTGCTGTGGGACTCCAGGCAGCTCATTCCTTGGCTGTAAGCCTTGGTTTTCTCATCTGCAGACGGGTACAGCTCCCGGGCTGGCATGTAGCAGGAGCTCCGGGAGAGGAGAGCAGGTTGCCCATCAAGATGCAGGTGCTCAAGAACAGATGGGTGAGGAGCCAGGGACCAGTGGGCTTCCGGAGTGGGGGAGGTGGGGAGCTCCCTCAGGTTTCCAGAGGGGTCCGGGTCTGGGACCCCCCACATCACTGTATCACAGGGCTGAGCGCTGGTCTGCAGAGCCTGGGGCAAGCACTGGGCCGTGGAGAAATGGGGACAGCCAGCCCTGAAGGCCCCCTCGCTCCTTCTGGGTCTCCTGTGACCCTTAGGCCCCGCCCCTTCAGTGCTCCCAACAGAAGTCCTGCTCATAGTACAAATGGCTGCGATGCTGGCCAGGGCTCTAGGGTGAGATTTCTGGCACCCGTTCTCCTCTCATGGCTGTGGGCATCCAATCCTCTTATGGGAGGAGCCCCCGCCCCATGGTGCTCTCATGTTCCAGGGCATCGACGTCCAAGGCCGACAAGATCCACACGGAGGTCACGCCGGAGCACATCCTGCAGCCCGCACTGGCAGAGCTCCCAGGAAAGTGGAAACGGACTAGGCCCACCGGCTGGCCACTGCCTACGCCTGGGGTTCTGCGACCTGCCCAGGGTGAGTCTGTCCTGGGGAAGGGCCCAGGGACCCATGTGGGGAGTGAGGTGAGGAGAGAGGAGGACATAAGTGAGAGCTAGATGCCCACATCAGGTTCTGCCACTTGCCAGCTGGGCGAGCATGGGCACACCTCCTCTCCGAACGCCCCGTGTGTAATCTGGGGAATGGAAGCAGCAGCAGGCTCCGGCACACAGGGTGACTGTGGGCTTGAGGGAGGTGACACAGGAAGAGCATTACACACAGACGAATGCTGCTGTCATCACAGTAGAGGTGAGGCGTGGGAACCCCGTTCCCCCAACATTTCCTCTGGGCTTAGTAGCTGGTTGATTGCTCCCTCCTTCCGTCCATCTGTCCATCCACCATCCACCCCAGGGGTCACAAACTCTGTAAAGGGTCTGAGAGTAAATATTTTCGGCTTTGCAGACCACACAGTCTTCCATTGCGTCATGAAAGCCACCACAGATGAAGTGTAAATGAATGAGTGTGGCCACTGTCCAGCAAAAGTTTATTTATAAGAACAAGCAATGAGCCGGATTTGGCCCATGAACCATGGTTTGCCAACCTCTGATCTATTTATACACTCATTCAGAAAACATTTTTGGGTTTTACTTGTGCCAGGCCCTGTTCTAGGTAGAGGGACAAGGATGGTGACAGGGACAGACAGTGCCTGCTCTCCTGAAGCTCACATTCCAGTGGGTGGAGGAAGATAAACAAGATGCATGATATGTAGTCAGGCATGGTGAATGCTGTGGAAGGACAAAGCGGGGAGGGTGATGGGATGCAGCGGGCCTCTGACAAGTGCAAGCTCTGCAGAAGAAACAGTCTGTGCAAAGGCCCTGTGGTAGAAGCATGCTTAGAGTGTTTGAGGAACACAGCGTGGCCCATACAGAGTGTGTAAGGAGGTGAGGTTAGGAGGATAACGCAGACCCCCAGGCTATGCCAATGAGACCAGTTTCTTCCTTAAGCACAATGGGAAGGCAGAAGACGCAGAAGACCTTGAGCAGGGGGGTGATAGCTGATTTGAATTTTTTAAAGGTCATTCTGGCTGCCAAGTGGAGCAGGGGCTATGGGCGGGGGCAGAAGCAGAGGATGGGAGGCCCGATAGGCTATTGCAACAGCCCTGGTGGCCTGGACCAGGGCATGGTGGGGAGAGGAAGCTGTGCACCTGCAGCTCCCTGACCACTGACATGCACTGTCTCATCTCAGGCCCTCTCGGTCTCCCGGGAGCACACCCTGGGTCAGGATGGGCGCCTGCTGCCTTCCCACTGCAGCTGGACCTCGCTCCAGACCTGGACCCAGCCTGCACCTGGGTCTGACCCTCCGCAGCCACAGCAGGCCGCGGACACCCGACTTCTCCAGGGAGCTGGAGGTGGGTAGCTGGGTTGGGGCTGCCTACTCCTTGGGAAGATTCACTGACAGACAAGAATGGTGACAGGGACAGACAGTGCCTGCTCTCCTGGAGCTCACATTCCAGTGGGTGGAGGAAGATAAACAAGACGCATGATATGTAGTCAGGCATGGTGAATGCTGTGGAAGGACAAAGCGGGGAGGGTGATGGGATGCAGCGGGCCTCTGACAAGTGCAAGCTCTGCAGAAGAAACAGTCTGTGCAAAGGCCCTGTGGTAGAAGCATGCTTAGAGTGTTTGAGGAACACAGTGTGGCCCATACAGAGTGTGTAAGGAGGTGAGGTTAGGTGAGGATAACACAGACCCCCAGGCTATGCCAATGAGACCAGTTTCTCCCTTAAGGACAATGGGAAGGCAGAAGACCTTGAGCAGGGGGGTGATAGCTGATTTGAATTTTTTAAAGGTCATTCTGGCTGCTAAGTGGAGCAGGGGCTATGGGCGGGGGCAGGAGCAGAGGATGGGAGGCCCGATAGGCTATTGCGACAGCCCTGGTGGCCTGGACCAGGGCATGGTGGGGAAAGGAAGCTGTGCACCTGCAGCTCCCTGACCACTGACATGCACTGTCTCATCTCAGGCCCTCTTGGTCTCCCGGGAGCACACCCTGGGTCAGGATGGGCACCTGCTGCCTTCCCACTGCAGCTGGACCTCGCTCCGGACCTGGACCCAGCCTGCACCTGGGTCTGACCCTCCGCAGCCACAGCAGGCCGCGGACACCCGACTTCTCCAGGGAGCTGGAGGTGGGTAGCTGGGTTGGGGCTGCCTACTCCTTGGGAAGATTCACTGACCCACCTTGGTTTCCCTCTGGCCAGTGGGCCCACCACTGCCTGGGCATCTGTGCCATCTAGTGGCTATTATTGGAACTGTAGGCCAGTACCCTGGTGGGGACCAGAGCTTAACTGCAGAACCTTGCTGTCTAGGGCTCTAATGGTGGGATTTCTGGCTTCTGCTCTCCTCTTATGGGGGTCTCTTCACTGCAGTCCTAAGAACAAGCAGCTCCTGCCCTGCCCTGACACCCAGTCCTAGAACTAAGAGGCAGCTACACTGCCTGGCATTGAATCCCAAGCTAGCCTCTTCCCAGTTGGCAACTTGCTTAACCTCTGTCTCTCAGTTTCCTCACCTGTAAAGTGGGTGATGATTACTTCCCATGAATTAGTGCTGCAAGGATTAAATATGTTAATTTGTGTAGACTGTTTAGAATAGTGCCTGATACAAAGTGGCCACTGATAATAGCTGGTAAGTATTAGCTACTATTAACTTTAATTGGCCCAGCCTTCTCATCCCCTTCCTGATTCCCAGCAGCCCAGGGACGTAGAAGGGGCAGAGGTGGACTTGACGCCTGCCCCACCCCGACCTGGCCAAGTGATCTTGGGAAGGGACCTCCCTGAGCCCTGTTTCCTCAGCTGTAAGTGGGGGACAGATTATTTCATAGGGTGGTTGGTGGGGTTCTGGGCACCCTTCCCTCGGCCCGCACAGCACAAGCATGCAATAGGGGCTCCATTGATGTCTGCTGGCCTCTTGTCTCCCTGGCTGGGTGACCCTGACCTTGTGACTTTCCTTCTCCAAGTCTGTCTTCTTCTCTGTCAAATGGGAGCAAATCCCACCTCCTTCTCAGAGTTGTTAGGAGGAAAAATTCTGCTCTCCTCTTATGGGGGTCTCTTCACTGCAGTCCTAAGAACAAGCAGCTCCTGCCCTGCCCTGACACCCAGTCCTAGAACTAAGAGGCAGCTACACTGCCTGGCATTGAATCCCAAGCTAGCCTCTTCCCAGTTGGCAACTTGCTTAACCTGTCTCTCAGTTTCCTCACCTGTAAAGTGGGTGATAACTGTGCCTACCCCACTTCCCATGAATTAATGCTGCAAGGATTAAATATGTTAATTTGTGTAGACTGTTTAGAATAGTGCCTGATACAAAGCGGCCACTGATAATAGCTGGTAAGTATTAGCTACTATTAACTTTAATTGGCCCAGCCTTCTCATCCCCTTCCTGATTCCCAGCAGCCCAGGGACGTAGAAGGGGCAGAGGTGGACTTGACGCCTGCCCCACCCCGACCTGGCCAAGTGATCTTGGGAAGGGACCTCCCTGAGCCCTGTTTCCTCAGCTGTAAGTGGGGGACAGATTATTTCATAGGGTGGTTGGTGGGGTTCTGGGCACCCTTCCCTCGGCCCGCACAGCACAAGCATGCAATAGGGGCTCCATTGATGTCTGCTGGCCTCTTGTCTCCCTGGCTGGGTGACCCTGACCTTGTGACTTTCCTTCTCCAAGTCTCAGTCTTCTTCTCTGTCAAATGGGAGCAAATCCCACCTCCTTCTCAGAGTTGTTAGGAGGAAAAAGTGACATCCGCACAGTGCGCACAGTAGGTGCTCATGAGATGGGTGGTTCCTGCTAGCATCCGGAGCTCTCCAGCCCATTTCCGAGTCCAGTAGCTGAGGCTGTCCAGGGCTGACCCTTAGTTTTTCACTTTCCAGCCAGGCCCCAGCCACTCCGGCATCTGTAATCCTGGTGCTCTGTGGCCTGCCTCCCTGGAATCGGAGGCCTGGGAGTGAACCCTTCTTACTTGCTCACTGCTCCCCTCTCCCCCCATTTTGGGGTTTGTGGGGTGAACAGAGGCCCTTCCCAGTCCTATTTGGCCCTCATGCCACCCAGTGGCCCCTGTGCAGAGAATGGACCGATCCTGGAGGTCGGGAACTCACCTGGGCTGCACAGCAGCCAGCCAGCGTGCCCTCACCATTTGGTGAAGGCAACTCGGCACAGCTGGGACACAGGAGGCATCGGGACAGAGACTGGAATGTAATCCGCAGACGCCCACCTGTAAATTTTCCTAAGGATTCCTGGGCTCCACCCCCCTGCCCACTTAGAAATCTCGGGGAGAGGGGCCTTGGGAAGCTGCGTGTTAGTACGCACCCTGAATGAGGTTCAAGGGCTGCTTCACAAAGCACCCAACTTGGCAGCTCAACACAACAGCATTTCTTCTCTCAGTTCTGGAGGCCAGAAGTCTGACATCAGGTGTCAGCGGGCCATGTTGCCTCTGAGGCTCAGGGGAGTCCTCCTGGCCTCTTCCAGCTCCTGGTGGCAGTGGCACAGTGAGGGGGGGACCCTACTGGGCCTCATGGAGGTGAGAGAGCCGGGATGGGGGAGTGTGGCTGTCCCCCTGGGGCAGAGGCCACAGCACAAGGAGCCCTGAAGCCGGGTCCAGCAGCGCCAAGAAAACCAGAAGCCACCAGCCCGTAGCCTGGCAACGTGTCCTCCGCCCTTGCGGCACCGAGAGCCTTCTGTCCATCCCATTCCGAGAGGCTCCCCTGGACACCCCCCGCTCAGCCTGTCCCTCTGTCTGCCGTCCAGGGTTGTAGCTGTTGGGTTCCAGGTACAAGCCCAGCTGGAGGAGAGGATCCGAGGTGTGGGTGCCTATGTGAGAAGATTCCAGTGCCTGGTGGGTATACTGTGTTGGGGTGTCAGGGGTGCACTTCAAGAATGGGAAGTCTGTGTGGGGATGCCCCTCTGGCCCATCCTGTGCCCCCTGCTCACAGGCATGAGGGTCTTCGGTGCCCCAAACCTTAACTTGCTCCTGCCTCAATTTCCCTACCCAGGTGTAGCAGCAGGCACCCTGGACAGCTGTCTCAGGTGGGGCCGGAGGCTGTCCAGGCAAGTGGCCAAGATGTGGGGCCAGAGCCAGACCAGACAGGCACGACCCTGCACCCAAATCCACACACACTCCTGGGCCCCCACGCCCAGGCCCTCACACTTGGCCTGGGGCACTCTTTCAATCAAAAAGGCCTCCTGCTTTCGGGTGAGCCTGCAACCTAACTTCTTTTAGACCCTCCTGCCTTATCCTCAGGGACCTACGGCCTTCACACTCCGTGGGTGTGCTGTCTCCATTCTTGTAGCTAACATCTCATTCCCGCTGCCTCCTTTCTTTTGGGACAGCTGCCCAGGTTTCCTCAGTCCCCGCCTGACTTTGCTGGGCGCACAGCTTTACTTCTCTCGCGCCCGCTGTCGTAGGGTTCCAGGGCCCATTTCCAGGCCTGCGATAAGCACCGGTGTGGTTGTGCCGGTGGCTAAGGCTCCTGAGCGGCTCACTAGACGCCACTGCCCCGAGCGCCCTGGAGCTGCCGGAGCCTCTGTCCTCTCCACAGTCCAGCAGCGGCGCTGACAGCTGGCCCAGCGGGGAGCTGCCCACACCCTGCCGGCGTCCCTCTGACCGGCTGTGAAACGTTCTCTCACCGGCTTATGTCTCTGTGCCAGAGTCCCCCCTCCCCGCTGGGTTCAGTGAGTCCCCTAGATACTCAGAGCTATGACCTGTCACAGGGAAAGGACACAGGAAAAGACCAACAAGGTGGACAGTGCAGGGCCCAAAGGCCAAGAGACCAGGCCCAGTAAGCAGTCCAGCGGGCGCAGGGGACGCCCTCAGTCCCCCCAGCCTTGAATTGGGACACCACCTGCCAGACCCTGTCTGCCGGGGGGCTCTCCAGGGACCCTGTTCTCAGGCTTTTACAGGGGCCTGGTCACCAGGACAGCCTCTGCCTGGCACGCACCAGACTCGCAGAAGGAACGGGGTGCTCAGCATAAACCACATGTGTGCACAGTTTGGGCGCAGTGGGCCTCACTGCCCTCTTGCCAACCCCGGCTCCCCGATGCCAGCCAAGGGCCGACCTTGTGAACGGCCCTCAGGGGGGAATCTCGGGCCCACCATGCCGACAATCTCCTGCAGTCTCTAGAGCCCCCACCTATTCCAGGTAACAGGCCCTATTTCCTGGAGGCCGGGTCATCAGGGGACTGGCTTTCCCGCCTGGGTCTGGGTGGTGGGCAGTGGCATCCTGCCTGCCACCAGGCCCCGGAGGCCTCACGGTGGCACTGGCTGCCTATTGCAGGGCCCAGGCCACGCTGAAGGATGTCTATTGGAGGTGACACTGCAGCCCCTGGACGAGGTGCAGCCAGAGCGAGCAAGGAGGCTGTGCGGCGGCGGCCAGCCTGGGTGTCTGTTATGTCTCTGTGCCCAGAGTCCCCCTCCCCGCTGGGTTCAGTGAGTCCCTAGATACTCAGAGCTATGACCTGTCACAAGGAAAGGACACCCTGTATTTGGTGAGGTGGGTGAAGGGGTGGCACGTGGCTGTGCCAGGCGGGGATGGCCCTGGCGTCTCTCACTGCCCCCTCCCTCCCCAGGCCGCCCACCAGATGCCTCTTGGGCTGACGCCCCTCCTCAGAGGTGCTGATACTCCGCAGGCCCTTGCTGGGCCCGTGCAGCTTCTCACCAGGTAACGGGCTGTGTTCCCTGTGTTCCTGCCCCCAACAGGCTATGCTCAAACACCCTCGCTCTCATGACAACGCTGCCTGCCAGGCAGGCGTGTTTAGTCCCCACCTTACAGATGAGGCCACTGGGGCTCCCTCAGTCCTAGACATTCTATGAGCACTTCCTCTGAGCAGCCGCGGTTTCAGGCGCTGTAGCTACAGCGGGAAAGAGACAGACCCTGGCCTCATGTGGCCGTTTCCTAGGCAGCGGGTCACTATGTCAGTAACCAGGCGTCCACACCAGCCGCTGGCAAACCTTCCTAGGAAAGGGCCTGAGTGTCAGGTTTGTAGTCTTTGTTAATCCTCACGCGAGGGTATTTTTTCCCATTGATTTTTAGAGCAAGTGGGAGGAGGGAGAGGGGTAGAGAGCCCCTCTGAATGTGAGTCCTGCACCCCCCTCCCTGGGAGCCCCTGTGCCCTTTGGAATGTGGCAGCAGGACCTCCAGGGGAAAGAAGAGAGCGGGCCCACTCCTGGGCGCCATAGTAAGCCCTAGCATTGCAGTGCTGGGCGCATCTGTCCCAGGCTGAGCCCCAAGGTGACTCAACTGCCCAAGGTCACTAGGACTAAGGCTGGACTACAGATCCAGGCTTTGTCCAGCATATAAAAGCCTGGGCCAGGAGCCCAGCACGGGCGAGCAGCTCAGGGCTCCAGGCCAGCGCCCTCCCAGGGGACTGTGCCGGAAGTGGCTAATCGAGTCCAGCCTCTCAGACAGTCAGGGGCTGCAGGCCCGGCTCATGCCAGAGTGTGGCCCGGGCTCACTCCTGTGGGGCACGAGCGTGGGCTGTTCCTGAGCCCAATTCCTTGGCGCTGGGAGGGTCTGGGCAGGCAGGAGTGCACCCAGGGCGGGGTCCAGGCTGGTGTGCCAGGGTGGGGTTGTAATCACACAAGTGGGAACACAACCGAGGGCACGTGGTAGCCCTCCCGGAGTCAGGGGGTCCTTTCATTGCTAGGCAGCTGCTGATGGAGGAATGGCCTGGTCTTGACCTTCAGCTCCACCAGCTGACACAGGGCTTGTAGTCCACCCCTTGAGGCTGCCCTGGCCAGATGGGCCAGAACTGTCCCCTTCTTGGGCCATCTTCTGCCCACCATGCAGAGGCAGAGCCCGGCCCATGTGGCACCTCCCTTGTGTTGGATGGAACGTTGGCCGAAATCTTTTTTTAAAAATATGTTTCTTTTTTCAGTAGCTTCATACACCACACAGTTCACTCATTTAAAGTGTCCAGTTCCGTGGCTTTGAGCACATTCACAGCGGTGTGCGCCCCTCACCACAGTTAGTTCTAGAACATTTCCATCACCCTCCAACCCTCAGCTATCCCAGTCTACTCTGTCTCTAAGGATTTGCCTGTTCTGGACACCGTGTAAACAGAATCACAGAACATCTGACCTTTTGTGATGGCTTTTCACCTAGTAGAAAGTTTCCACGTTCACGCATGTATTCGTCCTTCTTTCCTTTTTATTGCTGACTTGGCTGTAAACTGTGAACACACCCCTAGAGGTCAAGTCATCTTGAAGCTGAGGCTCCTGGGGAACTGGCTGCTGGGCCGGGGACAGATCACATCTCCCGACCTGGGCTGCCCCGGAGGACATGGGCCACAGAGCAGGCTGGACACTCTGGGGTGCCCTGTGGGTCCCTGTGGGTTTGGGACTCCACGCAATAGGCAGAGCTGGCCCTTCTCACCCTGCCTTTGGGCCTCTCCTCAGACCTTGGTGTGTGGCCGGGCCAGGCCTGCTGACCTCTGCGGCAGCCTGCTGTTGGCCAAGGACTTTGCTTGTGACACTTTCTCACCAATGCTGAGCTGGGCCACACCGCCTCTACCCCAGCCTGAAGGTGAGCACGGGGGAGAGCTGGCCGCCACGGGGGCAGGCGGCCCATACCCTTCCTGCCTGGTGCCCCAAGGACCAGTCACCTGTCCCGCTCAGCCCTGCCTGGCCCACGACCTGCCTGCGGAGAGCTGAGGGCCTGGATCTGCCTCGTGTCCAGGCGAGGAGGGCCATCCCCAGGATCGAGCTGACCACGGCGCCTCTGTCACCTGTGCCATCGAGCTGGCCTCTGGCTCCATGGTAGGTCCGGGCCGGCCTCCCCTAGGCCACGGTCAGCTTCCAGTGAGCACCGCTGTGCCTTCGCATGGTTGTGAGCAGGAGGCCCAGGTCCTCTCTTAGGCCAAGGCTGCTCCTTGGGGGCTCACAACCTGGGGGGGGAGAGGGGGGAGCTGGAGAACAGCCTGAATGGCTCAGAACTGGAAGAAGGTCAAAGACCATCGCTCACTGGTGGCTGGCCCTGTTTCTGGGGCTGTAACGCACATGCTCTCCTCATGCAATCTTCCCAGTGTCATCCCGCGGTACAGGGGACCCGACCAGGGTGCCATCGCTCACTGATGACTGGCCCTGTTTCTGGGGCTGTAACGCACACGCTCTCCTCATGCAATCTTCCCAGTGTCCAGTGTCATCCCGCGGTACAGGGGACCCGACCAGGGTTAAGTGACTGGCCCACATCCACAGCCAGGAGCAGTGGGCCAGGATTTGAGCCCTGCCTTGCACGCTCCCCCTGATCAGGGCAGGCAGGCCCAGAACAGCTCCCTTGGCCCAGGAACGACTTCAAGAACTGCATCCTGGCCACACAGGATGGGAATGGTGACCTGAGAGGTCACACCCTTTCCTCGGTCCCTCTTCTCTCCCTCTGATGAAGGTTTGGGGCCAGTATGATAGGGTCAGGCATGGAGGGGTGGGTTTCAGCTGCCCCCTCAAAGCCTGGCCAGCTGTGCATGTAGGAGGAGGACATGTCCTGCCCTCTCCTGTCCCCACAGGCATTTCGGCCGGCCTTCTGGGTGACAACGAGGCTGGCGATGAGCTGATGGTGCCAGATGCACAGTGGCCAGCAGCCTGGAGATCACCCTCACCTGGCAGGTGAGCCAGTGGGCCAGCCCTTCCTCCCTCAGGCCTGCGTGTCACTAGGGCTGCAGGAGGCCCTCGTGCTGAGGTTCCCAGGCCTGCATGCTCTCTTCAGAGAACTCAGGCTGAAGGGGTGGTAGATCCCTATGGAGGCTGAGCTGCCCAAGAGAAAAGAGGTCCAGGCAGGAGGCCAGAGTCCTGCATTTGTCCCATCAGGTAGGTGGCGACTGCAGGGCATGGAGAAGACTCAGCAGGCGTGCCGGGGACAGAGTCCGCCTGCCGGCCTTCTCCCAGGACCCCCACTCAGCCTGGGGAAGTGCTTCCGGTGGGGAGTGCGAGGCTGGGCCTGGACCCTACAGAGGCCACAAGGCAGGTGGACCATGGGGCAAAAAAAAGGCCCTTGCCCCAACCTAATCTGTGCCCATCCTCTGAGCTCCTCCCAGGAGTGTGGTTGGCAAGGACAATGACCATGGGTTCTGGGTTCCAGGTGACCCCACACCATCCAGGACACCTGTGGCTCCCAGGAAAGCCAACCTGCCTGAAACCTGGAGGCCGCCTACATCCACCTGTTTGCCCGTGACTTTGTGCCCCTGGGTCTCCTTCCACACGAGGTAAGCTGCCCCTGGCCAGCAAGCCCTCTGACCCCACCTTCCATCCCAGAGGGAAACCAGTGCCTTTCTCCTAGCTCTGCCAAGGGAGGTCAGGCAGCTATAAAGTCGCTTTCTGAAAATGTATAGCCACATTCCCGCCATCCAGGGGTTTGAATATACATTCCCTACCATGTCTGCAAACCCCTGGGCACACCTGCAACCCGTTTGTGTATGATTCGAATGAGTGACTTCCCAATGCACAGAGGTGGAAGTCAGCGACCTCAGCAGACAACGAACGACACGAGATTCCTGTTAAATTATTCGTGACACATGTAAAAACACGGTAAGGCAGGGGTCACTCATGATAGATTCAAGGGAGCACTAAGGCTCTACCCCCAAAACAACAAGGAGAAGTGGGAATTTAAGCCAAGGAACAAGGCAGGGGTCAGTGAGATTCTGGCTAAACAGAACCGACAGGATTCTTGCAGGTCAGAATGATCTCACCTCGCCTGGTGAGGACCCTATCAGGTGTCAAGGTGATCAGTTACAGAGAATGCAGGGTTCCAGTTAAACCGACAGCAGAATTCCTGTTAGACGAGAACAATGCACAAACACAGAGGTCCAAGAGTTGGGGCCTAGTTGAGATGAGACTTTGGTTAAAGAGAAAATCTTTCCCCAAAGACTTCAGTCACTAGGCTTCAAGATTGTTAAAGACATAAAAGAATAAATTTTAAAATGACAAGCATAATTCCAAAATGCATTCCATTGACATTTATTTAAATAAATTTTTATTGATTTCAGATGAAGAGGAAGGGAGAGATAGAAACATCAATGATCAGCTGCCTCCTGCATGCCCCCTATTGGGGATCAAGCCCACAACCCAGGCATGTGCCTATGACCTCCTGGTTCATAGGTCGACACTCAACCACTGAGCCACACTGGCTGGGCTCCACTGATATTTAAAACCTGATAGATTCAACAGCAGAAGAGAAAATTATGAAAGAGGGAGGGTGCAATGAGAGGGTCCAACAGAAAGTCCAGAATGAGAAAGGTTTGAGAGACGTGACTCCTCAGATTCAGGAAGCACATGGTCTCCAAAATAGTATAAATAAACCCATACCAGACACGCAGGCTGGAACTGCAAGAAAACCAACGGTCCTAAGAGGTAATCTTTCAAGAAATGAGTAGATAACCTATCTCCCAACAGTAGTGACAGAAGACTGGAATAAATCTTTAAAGCATTAGAAGAAAATAATTGTCAAGTCCGATCTTATGCCCAGTTCAACTCTTATTTAAGATTAAAGAGTAGCCCTACCTGGTTTAGCTCAGTGGATAGAGCGTCGGCCTGAAGGGTCCCAGGTTCGATTCCGGTCAAGGGCATGTACCTTGGTTGCGGGCACATCCCCAGTGGGAGGTGTGCAGGAGGCAGCTGATCGATGTTTCTAACTCTCTATCCCTCTCCTTTCCTCTCTGTAAAAAATAAAATATATATATAAAGATTAAAGAGTAAGTAAGTGCTCAGCACTGAACTATCTGAAAATGTTTTACTACTAGTGGGCTCTCACTGAACGAACTCGACCTTGCACATTCATTCACACGCTGTCTGGCTACTTCTGTGCAACGACGGCAGAACGGTGTTTGTGACAGAGACGATCCGGCTGCAGAGCCTAAAATATTTACTGTTTGGTCTTTTACAGAAAAAGCTGGCGGATCCCTGCTGTACACCAAGAAAGCAGGAGGAAGGAAATCAAAGAGAAATTAATGAAATAGGAAGAAACAACAGAACAGATCAAGATAAAAAAAAATAAGACAATACTAGAAATGAGCAAGGAGTCAAAACTATAGATCCCACATTGCTGATAAATTTCAAAATCTGGATTAAATTATTTCCTAAAAAGATACAATCTGCCCAAATTGATTTGAGAAAGAATATCAAAGCTATTAAGTCACCTGAATCTATAGGTTCAAATGTAGCTCTGAAAGACCACAGATGCAGCTTAGTGAAATTACTAGAATTTTTTTGCTCCGTGAAAGACACTATTGAAAGGATAGAAAGTATATACTGAGAGAAAATATTTGCAAACCACATATCTGACAAAGGACCGATATCTAGAATATATAAATTAAATAACAGTAAAAAAAACAAAAACCACACACCAAAAACAATCTAAATAGAAAATGGGCAAAAAACATGGAGATGTTTCACCCAAAAGGACGTATGGATGCCAGATGAGCACATGAAGAAATGTTCCCCGTACCAGCCCCTAGGAAAGTGAGATAACACTAACCACCTGTTAGGACAGTTAAAACAAAAAACAGTAACAATACCAAATGCAAGAATGCAGAGACCTGGACCTCACAGGCATGGCTGGTGGGCATGTAAAATGGTGCGGTCATTCTGGACAATCATGTAGCAGTTTCTTTAAAAGCTCAACCTACACCTACCCTAGGGGTTCAGCAACTGAACTCCTGGACATTTATCCCAGAGAAACTCCAACATTCTCCCAAAAACCTGTTCATGATTATTTCTAGCACTATTGTTTGTAATAGCTCAAAACTTGAAACAACCCCAATAGCCTACACCCAGTGCATCGTTAGACAAATTTTGGTACATCCATACCATGGAATATTCAGCAATAAAAAGGATACAAACTCACCCTAACTGGTTTGGCTCAGTGGGTAGAGTGTCGGCCTGTGGACCAAAGGGTCCCGGGTTTGATTCTGGTCAAGGGCACGTACCTTGGTTGCAGGCTCCTCCCCGGCCTGGGCCATAATCAGGGCGCATGCAGTAGGCAACCAATTGATGTGTTTCTCTCTGTCTTTCCCTCTCTCTAAAAAAAAGAAATCAATGGAAAAATATCCTCAGGTGATATTAACAACAACAAAAAGATACAAAATCTAGATACACGCAACAACTTGGATGGATTTCAAGGGCATTACACTGAGTGAAAAGAGCCAAACTCAGAAAGTCACATGCTGTGTGATTCTATCTATAGAATATTCTTTAAACAAATTAGTGGCTGCTGGGGTGACAGATGGGGTGGGGAGTGGTGGTGATATAGTGGAGGAGCACAAGAAGTTTGTGATGATGGGAAGTTCTGTATGTTGATGGTGGCGGTGGTTACATGAATCTACATGTGTGACAAAATGTCGGAACTACATATACACTCACATTCTACCAATGTCCATTTCTGGGTTTTGCTATAATTATGGAAGATGTAACCATTGGGGGAAACTAGACGAAAAATGCCCAGGACCTCTCTGTACTGTAAGTGTTTCATAATAAAAACACCAGGCCCAGAATGTTTTATAGGCAAGTTGTAATAATTTACCACAACTGTCCCAGAATAGGAAAGCGAAACCTAACTCTTCCCAGCTCATTTTAATGCAGTTACGTAATTCTATCTTAGGGTACAAAACCTCATAAGGTCAGTACAAGAGAGGAAAATTAGAAGCCCAGCTGCATACGTGATGCAGATGTTCAACACACTGATGTTGAACATATAAGTTACAAACATAGTAGGAAGCAAAATTCAACAAAGTGTTGAAACAAAAACGAACAAAGCATCATGACCAGCTGAGGTCCCTGGTAGTGACTTAGACCAGATAATTCAGAACCACCCTTCTGGGGGGATATCCAATTACTCCAGACAGGATACAGAAAAAGTCGGATAGGTCGACATCCAGGGAAGACAGGAGAGTGACATCAGCGAGAGGGCAGGCTAGGCAGCTACAGGCCCTCACTCCTCCATGGAAACACCGAGTACATAACAGCACATGGACCAGAGTAGTGGGAACTCTACAAATCAGCTGAGCAGCAGCACCAACCGAGTGCCTAGCCAAGAAAAAGCCGCATTCAGACTGGCAGGAAACCTCGTGGCGTTCTGGCTTGCCTTCTGCAGTTTCAAGGAAGCCACCTAATTCCTGGCTCTTCCCTCAGTATAAAAGGGGAAGAGTGGAACTTGCCTGCAATATTCTGGCTTGTCTGGGGGCTGCCAGAGGGACTGGTTTCGGTCTCTCCTGACTCCGATACTGCTGAGGTTGGAGGTTGCTGAAAGCGGAAGTGGGTGCCAATGAGAGGAGTCTGCAAACCTGCGGGTGGCTGGGAGCAAAATTATGGACAAAGGCATATAATACATTGAAACCCTTGAGAAGAAGCAGGAGTGAGACTCCTAGGGAAATCAGGACATTTAAAAGCAGCTGTGTGGCCCTGGCCTGGCATCTCAGTTGGTTAGAACGTTGTCCTGATACACTAAGGTTATAGGTTCCTCCCCCGGTCAGGGCACATACAAGAATCAACCAATGAATGTGTAAATAAGTGGAACAAATAACAATTCAATCTCTCTCTTTCTCTCCTCCGCTCCTTTCTCTCCTTCTCTCTCTCTCTCTCCCCTATCAATAAATTTAAAAGCAGCTGTGTATGTTAGGGAAGTAGAATTAAAGCACAAACACAGGCCCGGGGAAGATGCACCCTAAAAATGTTTGAAAGAACCCAATGCCTTGCATCAGGCTGTCCCGTTAAGGTCTTCGCTTGCACAGGACGCTCTACAAAGACTGGGAGAGTTAGGTCTTTTCAAATGCCCAGTTTCAACAAACGATGACAAGACATACAAAGAAATGAGCCCATTTAAAGGAACAAAAATCTCCAGAAACCAACTCTCAAGAAACACAGGCCTCTTAACTTACTTAGCAGGGACTTTATTTTTATTTAATTATTTATTTGTTTTTATTAACCCTCACCAGAGGATATTTTTTCCATTGATTTTTAGAGAGAATGGAAGGGAGGCAGAGAGAGAGACACATTGATTGGTTGCCTCCCGCTCAGGGCCAGGGATTGAGCCTGCAACTGAGTGCATACCCTTGACCGGAATCGAACCCAAGATGCTTAAGTCCGCAGGCTGATGCTCTATCCACTGAGCCAAAATGACTAGGGCTCCATTGATTTTTAGATGAGTGGAAGGGATGGGAGGGAGGGGGAGAGAGAGAAACATCCATGTGAGAGAGACACATTGACTGGTTGCCTCCCACATGTGCCCTAACCAGGCCAGGGATGGAACCTGCAACCCAGGTAAGTGCTCTTGACCAGGAATCGAACTCTCGACCTGTCATTGCATGGGCCAACATTCTAACCACTGAGCACACCGACCAGGTCTAATAAGGACTTTAAAACAACTGTCTTAAATATGCTCAATTAGCTGAAGGAACAAAACAGGAAAACAACATGTAAACAAATAGAATACCAACAAAGAGGTAGAAATTATAATAACCAAGTAAGATTCTGGGGCTGAAAAATACAATTGAATTTATGTTGTTTACAAGAGACTCACTTTAGATCTAAGGATATGCAGAGGTTGAAAGTGAAAGGATGGAGAAAGACAGTTCTTACAAATAGTAACCAAAAGAGCAGAGTGGCTCTATTCATGTCAGACAAGTAGAATTTAAGAAAATTCTATTCCAATTGAACTGTTACAAAGAAGACATAATTATAAACATATGTGCACCAACACTGACAGAATGTTGAGAAGAAAGAGCTCTACAATAATAGTAAGACTTCAATATCGCCCCTTTCAATAATAGATCACCCAGGAGGAAGGTCAATGAGGAAATAGAGAACTTAACACTATAGGTCGATTAGACCTAATAGACAAATACAGAACATTCCGCCCAACAACAGTAGGATAAACATCTCTCTCAAGTGCACGAAGAGCATATAACAAAGGGTAGGCCACAAAATAAGTCTTATACATTTTTAAAAATTGAAGTCATACAACTCTTTTCCAATCACAATGGAAAGATACTAGAAATCAATAGCAGAGAAAAAACTGAAAAAAAAATCACAAGTTGTGCTAAATTAAACACCATACACTTAAATAACCAATGGGTCAAAGAAATCACAAGATAAATTAGAAAATATCTTGCGACAAATACATAACCAAACTGTGGGATGCAGAGAAAGCAGTGTTAAAAAGGAAACTTATGCCTGTAAATGCTTACATTAAAAAAACTAGCAAGGCCAAACCGGTTTGGCTCAGTGAATAGAGCCTCGGCCTGCGGACTGAAAGGTCCCAGGTTCGATTCCGGTCAAGGGCATGTACCTTGGTTGCGGGCACATCCCCAGTAGGAGGTGTGCAGGAGGCGGCTGATCGATGTTTCTCTCTCATCGATGTTTCTAACTCTCTATCCCTCTCCCTTTCTCTCTGTAAAAATCAATAAAATATATTTTTAAAAAAAAACTAGCAAGATCTCAAAACTCCACCTTAACTTCACTAGAAAAAAGAACAAAATAAACCCAAAGTGAGCAGAAGGGAGGGAATCATAACAATTAGAGATAAATGAAATAGAGAATAGAAAACGAGAGAAAAATCAATGAAGAGTTGTGCTTTAAAAAAAAAAAAAAAAAATCAATTAAATTCACAATTGGCTAGACTGACTTAAAAAACCAAAGGAGACTCTAACTAAAATAGGAAGTGAAGCCTTTGCTGGGCAGCTCGGTTGTTTAGAGCACTGTCCCGATACGCCAAGGTTGTGGGGTCCATCCCCGCTCAGGGCACATACAAGCAGCAACCAATGATGCATAAATAAGTGGAACAACAAATCAGTGTTTCTCTCCCTTCCTCTAAAATCAATTTTAAATATAATAAAATAAAAAATGAAATAGGGGACATTACAACCAACTTTTACCAAAACTAAAGGGATTGTAAGGGAGTACTCTAACTACATGACAACAAATTGAACATCATAGCATAGATGAGAATGGCTAAATTCCTAGAAACATCTAACCTGCCAAGACTGAATTATGAAGAAATAGAAATCTGAACACACCTATACTAGCAAGAAGATTGAATCGGTAATCAAACATCCCAACAAAGGAAAGCTCAGGACCACATGGCTTTGCTAGTGAAGTCTACAAAGCACTGAATGAATTAAATCCAGTTTTCTTCAAACTCAAGAGGGAACACTTCCAAGTCCATTTTATGAGGCCAGCATTACCCCATACCAAAGCCCAACAAAAATACAAAACACTCTACCAACAGGATAAACATCAGACAAAAATACTTTTAGAAAACTACAGAACAACATCCCTAATGAATACAGATGCAAAAATCCTCAACAAAATACTAGCAAGCAGGATTCAAGAGCACATTGATTTCTAACATTGAAAGGGTTATAAATCCCACAACCTAGTGGGATTTATTCCTGAAATGCAAGGATGATTCACCACAGGAAAATCAATTAATGTGATACAGCACATTAACAGAATGAAGGGCAAAAACCACACGATCATCTCAATTGATGCAAGGAGAGCATTTAACAAAACTCAACACTCTCATAATAAAACCATACAATAAACTA